AAGATAGAGATTGTCAAATCGTGAAGACAAAAACTGTAACCTTGACTGAGACAACACGAGCGGTAAAAAGAAGTCATGCCTTCCAGTCTAGTATAAGAAAATAGCTTTGAAAAACTTTCCATTGGAGCAGAATACTTCATTTAGTTACGGCTCTGTTTCATAATAGATGCTAGTGTAAGCTCCCTGGTGTTGAAGTAAGTCCTTCGTATTTAGTACCGTCTTGTACCTAAAGACATGGGCTTGGCCAAAATCAAAACAGCAATGCTGTAGGGACTTTCCCCTTTTAGTCACATGCTCAAATGTTTATTGATATACAGTTGCCATGGTGTTGTCATGCAAATTTATAAATTTCTTCCTTGTCATATGACGTCATCAAATGTACCATATTCAATTAATTAAACACCCGTGTGATTTATGTTGTTATTAGTAAACATAATTAATTGCACATTGATATTGAGAAAAGAGCACTATAGAAAAATCAGTACACACTATATCATTGCCATTAGCAAACTGCAACTATGAGTCTACTTAAAAATAAGTGGCTCAAAGGTATTATCTATAAGTAATGCAAAAGGATGAGGCACAGGGAAGTACAAGTTTCTCAATGAGGATATTCTAAATGGAATAAGAGGTATCTGCAAACTAATAAAAGTATTGGCTAGTGGTTATGACCTGGTGGCATAGCCCCGAGGTTGTCCTAAAATCATTTTCACCCACGTGTGATATATATATATTTCTATGTAAACAATTTATTTCTTTTACACACGTATGGGAGAAATGCATTGTATATGATGCCTTACCAATATCTACACACATTAATTAATTTAATGTGAGGGGTGTGGTTATTGAAAGGGAAGTGGCTATTGTTGGACTGGACAACTATAAGTTTTATGGTGAGTAGTCTCTTTTCCCAGCTTCTTTGCCTTAACATGGCAACAAGACTGTATAAAGAGACTCTTATTCCCGTAATTCCTGCAATAAAGATGTACCAGAAGGGCTAAGCTCGGCTCCTATTGAATAACAATTAAGTAAAATAAAAAATGAATAGTCAAAATTTGACAAAAATGTCATACCATGTTGTCTCACTGGGCTAGGTCATCTAAATGAAATCAGTATCAACCAAAAACTGAAGTATTAGCTATTTAAAAAAAGATTAGATACTGAATAGTGACATGATCCACCTTAGCCATGTAAAAATAATTATCATTATTTTAACTATTGAATAAAATAAGTATTAGATACATGTATATACAGGCTAGTAAAGATATTGCTCACTGATTATGGTTATTTGTAACTATTTATTCTATTTTATCCAGTAATCTCTCCAACTGGTTCATCACACCATTATTGTGTTGTCGCTGCCGCCACCCCATTCCTCTCCCTCCTCTTCCTCTCCCTCACTTCCCCTTTAGTTCCAAGATCTAACTCCATAAAAATGACTCTGGAGCAGCTGCGGGGCCTGCCTCCATTCTTGCCCTCTTCCGCTGTTATGATTCTCTGGCCTGCCCCGCTCTCTTCTTTCTCTCCCAGGTCTCCCACACCTGGTACCTCTACGAGGAGACCCATCACCTCTACCACCACAACCAACACTTCTTTGTGCTCCTCTACCATCTTTCTGTCGTAGCTGCTACCAGGCTCTGACATCAACCTCCACGACCACAGTCAGCAGCTGTTACATTGGGACACCTGTCTTCCAGTCTTGGAGGTGGTGGTCTTATAAAAGGTGGAGGTGGGGTCTTCTATCTCTTCCTTTGTGTGGTTGTTTCATAGCTGAATCATCGCCAGTCTCATCTACCGGTGGTAGCCAATTCGAAGTCCCTGGTTGCGAGTACTGCATTTCCTCATATTGCAGCTATTATAACCTATTTAATTCTTATTTCCATGCAATCATTTACATCATTGTCTTCTCCCATTTTAACTTCAGTCTTCAGTATTAAAATAAATCAGTGAATGCAGCTATTCTAATTAATAATTTAGGAGCCAATAATATTAATTAATGTCTGAAGACTTAAGGTACTTTTGGATGAAATTTTAATATTTTTTTAATTGATGCCATTTTATAGGAAATAAAAAGTTGTACACCTTGGGCTATTTTTAAATTTTTACCATACACTATATATAAGTTATAGATCATTGAACTTTAAATATAAAAAAAAAAATTCCTGCATAACTTTTCATACTTTATGAACTTACTTGTTGCAATTACTAAGCAAATTTATTTCCCTTTTTTCATTGTAGATTCAGTTGCAGTTGAAGCTGATATTCTCATTTGCCTCGTGTACAGTGGCATTTTTCGGACATGGATTTTAACATATAAACAACTAGCAATTTATCATTTTATTGATTGCATGTCATAACACTACTTTTTTCTATTACCTGATGGAGTTTTGTTATCATTAATAATTCTGTTCATTTTGTAGTGATTTTTAAAGTACTATTTCAAGAAAGTCAAAGCATTAATGTTTAGCAATGAATATTGTTATTGCACTAATGAATATACTTACATTAACCATGAATATCATTAATCTTTTTATGAATATAGTTTAATCTGACGTCATCCTACATGCTAATGCGGAAGTCACATGACTTCTGTGAGTATATTCATGGCTTTTGGCAGTAAAAGGGGTGGGTGTGCCATGTCACTGAAATAAAGATGGCCGTCTGTCCTGTTTGATTCTCTGTAAGCTCCTCCTCCTTCAGCTGTACGCGCATAAGGGAATGCCTCTATCTCGGCATAGATCTCGGCCCCTGGTTCTCTAAAGTACAAGCTAAAGCCACAAATTGAGCAACAATGCTTTATACTGGCATGGTAGCTATCTTATTGACTTTGATTGTAGATCTAAATGCAAAAGCAGCAGAGAATACTTGTTCCTCAGCAAAGAAGTTTCCAGAACCATAAGTTTTGTGATCAAATGCACACTTTATTCCTTTTTAGAAAGGAATACACCTGTGAGTTAAGCAACAAACCTTTGATATTAGGGACAAAGTCATTGTGGAGAGGTCTGACTTTTGAAGA